TGTTGTTACTGATTAACTAACGAAATTCTTTTCACACGATCATTTCGTCTTGTTGTTGCGACAGCCAGTAAGGGTCTATTTGTAAAATCCCTTAGAGGTATGGTGAACGTATGGTATGGTATTTGGTTATGACGAATGGTTTCAGAACCTCATTTTTGGAACCCCTCCATCGCTTCTTCTTCGTATACCCTAGGTTAAACAATACAAAAATGTGATGATCAACTAATGAACATTTCTAGATTGTATTAAACATTTGAGATAACTTCAGTAAGATGACATTATTAAATTGATTTAGAAGTTCATTGTAACTATAGCGTGTGTATATCTTAGTAGTACTGGAAATGCGATTACTGACAAGCGTTGCCTCTAATGGCGATTAAAGCAAGTGGTTTGCTATATAAATGTCTAATATTCTCGGTAGAAATATGAAGTTGTGTAGCTCAATGTTTCTCTAACGCCAGTGCGAGAATCAGTTCACTATATTAGCTATTATCCGGTAACCGGTACTGGCTGTAGCTTTTGATAGTTACTAACTTTTAGCGATAATATTATTTGGGAGTGATGATATCGGGACTTTTACAACTCAGTGAATATTTTAATGGTTTCTATATTTTCAGGCAGCATTATGGTTTGAGTTAAGAATTACTGATCTAGTTTGGAGACAAACATACAGACAAAAACTCTCTTGAAGACATAGACCCAAATGATAATGATGATAAATCTTATAAATAGATTTAATGAACATCGCAAATACTTTCTTTCATTTAAAGAATTGAATAAAACGAAAATTATATCCCTGTCATGAAAATTTAATTATCCCAAAAGGAAACTAAAAACTTGGGGCTAAAAAGAACTAAGAGCTTCGAGTTTTCATTTTAAGCCAATCGTATTCTGTAAAAAGTCCATTATCCCGTAAGGCAACTAAGAACTAAGAGCAAAAAAGAAACTAGAAACTTCGGGTTTTCATTCTATGCAAACCGTATTTAGTCAAACATCCATTATCCTAAAGGAGAACTCAAAACTTAGGGCTAAAATGGAACTAAGAACTTCGGGTTTTCATTCTATACCAACTGTATTTCGTCAAAAATCCATTATCCTAAAAGAGAACTAAAAACTTAGGGCAAAAATGGAACTAAGAACTTCGGGTTTTCATTCTATGCCAATCGTAATTCGTAAAAAAAAGTATGAAATAAGATGAATGAAAGAGTATTGATATCTTTATTATTGAAAATAGATTTTGCGCTTATTAGATAAACACTATTGCCATATTTAAATAATTAAAGAAATACTATATCTTTTCTAAGTTTTAATTTTAAGCATCTGTAGGTATATCTCAACGCTATCCAAAACACTATCCGCTCAGCTATCCATATTTTCAAATATTTTGTTGAAGAGTGTGAATTTAAATCTGGTGTATATCTCTACTGGCGACTAAAATAATTAACAATGGAAGTAATTATAAGTTAAGTACAAACTGTTAAATTTATGTGAAAATCCTAATGAAAATTGTAAGTAAAATATAAAAATTATAATGAAAACATTTCCCAATATTTATTTATGTTAATTTGCTAAATGTTTTTCTAATAACTGATTATGCATTTCGCAGTTTGTATTTATGACTTGGCGATTGTAAATTAACTTCAAGTAAAATACTTAATTTATTATATACACATTCATATATATATATATATTCATACAATGAATAATTGTCTGGTATTGTATAGCAACGAAGAGATGTACTTTGTCAGATACTTTAACTATTTTCGGTCAATATAGCGCGTTACTGCTAGATTTCGCAAGTCTACTGAAAGCTCTTGTCAGTGCAACATGTGCACTACTCTGTGCACTCAGAAAAATATTTTAAGTTTTTAACAGAAAGAAGGAAAAACTTTTTAATAGATATGTCAACATTCCAAATAATTTTCACATGAAATATTCAGATTATAGGGGTGTGATTGATTGCCGATATACTGATAACTAGAAAATCGTTCAACGCGTTGAAATCTATATCACAAATTAGATAATACTAAAAAGATTTTGAACTTTATGCTCCTGTTGTGATTATGAAAAAAATTATAAATCCTTGGCACATATATATTTGAAATGATAAACTTTATTTCGATAGTTAATTCCTTTGCCTCTATTAGTGAGCGTCCTATCAGTCCCGTAAACTATTCTTATCTCTCTACTAAATTGTGCTATATAAAGTCAATTTGAATACCGTGTTAACGTTGTGGCCTTTTTCATCCTCCAACTCTCGGATATCATTATTAAGTTGAATCCAAAATAGCTTCCGTTCACTTAACTACAGATTTTGTTAGTACAACCAGCTTATTTAGCTTGTACTAACTAATCATCCTACTAACTGTCATCCTCCTGCTTACCAGTGCTGGACTTACGTATAATATATGTAGCGCTGTCTCTATTTCTCCTAGACAGAGTCTGCAAGTGTCTCAACAAGTAATATCTATTTGAAGTGACACTTGAAATTTCCATGTCCAGTGTTTAATGAGATCAGGCAACTTAGGGTAATTCGCGCATAGCTAAGAACCTTTATCGCTTCACTGACCATCGGTTTTGGCATTATGAGTTTAACCTGGAGATAGGCTCTCTCTAACAGCTAAGATGAAGTGAAGGTAGTCACATATCGATCCAATGGTATTCTTGGCTTGGGAACGCAGAATCCTTGCTTGGCAAGTTTATATGCTTTTTCAATACCGATGTGTCCTTTAACCCACATGACTTTGACCTCATTTTCGTGAGATCATTAGTACATTCTTGTACTAACCTGTTGACTACGCACATCTTTTGCATGTTTTTAATCACTGTTTGATAGTCCAGGTTAATAGGATCAGTCATTTTACATAGCTTACTTCTTTAAATATTGAATTTTCAAGGAAAGAACATTGTATATATTGATTACATCAACTAAACCTATACACGCCATCATGCGTTAACCAGTATATAGAGCATTTACATTGATAATACAAATGACTACTAACAAAAAATGGACCCAATATCTGGTATGTAAAAATTTTCAACTTGAGAGCCAATATGTTTTTATTAGCAGAAAACTGCATAAAAAACTATGCTTGCAGACTTTACAAAATTAGTAAAAAAACCTACTATAAGCATATAATAAATATTAATAAATTTGTATGGCTTCACTATTTATTTACTGTGATTACTACATATAGAATTTTGCTCTGTTAAAACTTTTAAGTGCTGCATAAATGCAATATAATGATATAAAAAATACTTTTTTTTTCAGTGTAAATTAGAAAAAAAGTAATTATAATATTTTCACTGACAGTTTCGTAACAAATCTGAAAAGTAAACTTTGTAATTTACTTTCGAGTCAAAACCTGTGATATCTACCATCTGCTGTCGTTGTCTTTATTGCTATTGGGTTGGCTTAATACAAACTTAAGAGAAAAAAAATGAAAAGATACTTTGCGAAAATGGCGTCTGAATTTTAAGTTTAAATTATTAAACTAATATTTGTGTATGAAAATTATTTAATTAACATAAAATCATAATTTGTTTAACAAAGGTCAGCAACACAACACACAGTTTTGCTAGTGGAAAATTACTTAACAGAAAAAGCTATGAAGATTAGGATGAATATATCTTATAAACAAATATATATACGTTTTTTAGAAATTTATTCATTTAGTAAATATGTTATATGTACTAGATTGTAAATAAGTCTGAAGATATAATACTCGTATGCATTGTAGGCGCCATGGCATATAGTTGTATCAACATAATTGCTTTTGGATAAATTTCTTTTTGGAAAATCTAAATAGGAATATCAAATGTTTGCATATTCAATAATATACTATAATGTATATTTATAGAATATATATATATATATATTTATGCGGTTACAGTAACTTAATGTTAACTATATTAGATAGATAAATGCAATTTCCTTGGCTTAGTAGCTATAACTATAGCTATTCCTATAGCTTTAGCAAAACGACGACAAATCGCTAATTGAGGTACATGGAAGTTATCTTCCACTGCAACCTATAGCTAACACATATCGCACTAGCACTACTAATATCAGTAAATTTATAAAATAACTACAATTATTTTATCTATGACTTAGTGTCTACAGCTAACGTATATCGTACAAATACCAGCAATATCAGAGAATTTATAAATTAAATACAATTGTTTTTACAAAATAATATTATAGCTGAGGGTCGACTTATATTTTTGGATTGGACATGCTGTTTATTATTTGATTAGTGTTTCTTACAATGTGCTACAATTCTCAATAACTAAAAGATTAAATTGAATGGTTCTCCTAAAATCCCTAATGTTCATAACACTCCCTGATAGAACGTGCTCAAAACCTTCTGCACTACCCAACACTTTTTGCAGAGTTTCGATAATTTTTAGAATTGAAGTATTAACTAATTTTGAGAGGATTGAGTGAATGAAGAGGATAGTATACAGATCTTTTGGTCTTGTTACTTTTCAACATATATCTGTGTCCGTAGTAGATCGTACTATTGTTGATAAAATCTTGGATACATCGATAATATCGATCAATATCGATCGATAATAATTGAAATATCTTAAATACAATTTTTTTTAAGGTGTTTTGACGACTTGATGAAACCATGTTTTGCACAGCGTTCGTATTCTATTGAATATTTATATTAATAGATATAATATTATACACTCAAAAAAATATATTGTTTGGTTTAACTGGATTTTAATCAAATCCCAGGTCCAATTATTCTTACTCGATGTATCATGTTGGTTTAATCGTAGCACTTGTTGGTTTTCTAACAAAATGATCAGGTCCATTTAACTAGTATGTGGTTAGAGCATATTGTTCTGAATATATATATAATAATATTATCTGTTAAAATAATATTAATATTTCTGTAGTACATATTGAAATAGTTATATTGTTTACTTTATTTTAATTAACTATTTTAAAGTGCAATGTAACATCCGCGCGGTGGATTTTGTAGATATACCATGCTGCAGACATAGCATATTGTCCGACTGGTATTGGTAGACGTGATAATTTATCGGTTACAGTCTTTGTATCAAGTTTCTCCACAATAAAATCGTGCTAAAAATATGAATTTATATCATTTGCTCTATAATATAATAATATTTAAATATACTCACATTAAAGGGACAAGAATGATTAATATTAGAATGATCCTTAAATGAGTTATAGAAGAACTTAGTTACTGGATTGTATGGCGATTTTAGAAACCTACAAACGTCAACTGATATGTTATACAAAAAAGGTTTATAGCCATTTTCGCGTTTGAACAATGCATAATTAAACTGAAAAAATGTACTGTGTTTTTTTATTGGAAAATTTAAAAAATTAGAATAATATATAAAACATACCACTATTTGTGTAATTGGTAATTTGAGAAACTTCGCTCTCATGGACCCGTATTTGTAGGTGCGATTAACTGACTTTAAGTAACAATAATCAAATTCGACATAATCTTTATCAACGGCTATACATACTAAATTAGTGAATTCAACATAAGAAGAAACCTGTGAGAGAGATACTTTTTAATATATTAACTTTATTTGAAAATAATAAACTTCTTACCTTAACTAAAAACAAGAAAAGAAATATAAAAATTATTAATAAAATTTCTATAGATCGCATTTTTATAAACTATACTAGAACACGGTATTGTGTTCTTAATTCCTCTTTGAAGGTATGCGGATATATAAATTAGACGACTTTGCTACAGATCACTGCTATATAAACTGAATGAGGTTTCAAAAAATCAATTCATGTCACTCTTAATCACAAAATTCATATACGATTGACTTTTGAGATTAACTATATTTATGGAATGAATTTTTGTGAATATGTGAATATTATTAGCTATTTTTACTATAATTTTTCACAAACTAATTGTGCAAAAAATTATCATCACTTCAATCTACCTTTTTAGCTGGCATATTTTTCATATATGACAATTATATGAAATTTTTATTACTAATCACATACAATCTATGAGATATTCATTGAATAAAAAATTTATAACTATTTATTATTCCGTAATTTCAATAAGTCTTTCGTATATTTAATATACATATAGTATATAGTATACACAGTGTTATCTGTTCTTTAGTCCAAATTCTGCAGCATCCTATCAGTACTATATGTCTGAACATGTAGAGCATACTATATGTCTGACTTAGAACTGTCAACCAACGCATCATATAAGGTTTCATATAAGGTTTCTACGTTCACAATATGTATTGTTGAACAACCGCTGAACCTGAACAAAATTGTGGAAACTTACTACAAGAATGATGATTCTATAGTAATTGAAGATTATAAGAAGAAAAATCGTTCATCAAACTACACTAAAGGTAAAACCGTTAAGAAATTTGAAACACGGTATCTATAATAAATCAAGCTATATCAAACAGAGCTGCCATTCAAGGCATCATATATATTTTGTTGAAAATATCATCTTTTGATCATGACCAATGAAAAAAATATCCTTGATAACAATATTTTTTTTTAATTAACAATGTGTCAATGTGGAGGCCCCATGCTCTACTAGGAGAGAAGGACAGCAGTAAATAATTAAGTATGTCTTAATGAATCGCTTTAATTAAAGCTTAAGAGTAAGTTTTAGAATCTTAAAAACTAATAACAATTTATTACAAATTACTTTAAATATATATACTACAATGAAATGTAAATATTATTTGTAAATTATTTTTACAAGCCTCTATATAAGTAGCAAGGGCTTATTTACTAGATATCATGACCCATAAGTTGAATTAAACAGCATACTCAGCAGGAAAGCAGGATGGCTGATCTATCATTCCGTTTCAGTCTTGAAGAATTTATCAAATTAGCAAGAGGTCTAGGTAGCGGACTCACATGATTTTCTGATTTGGAACATATTTCTGGCTTATTCTGTCGAACTTGACTTTAATCATCGGAAATTTCAAATCGAAATATATGTTTCTTGTCATTTTTGATAAACCAGGCTGCACCATTTATCATTCTTGAAATCTTAGGTTGAGCTCTTTGCAGGATTTCTACGTTTGACAAACAGGCATTGCCATATAAGTGAAAGCCATACATTCAGATTGGCTTAATGATTTGGTTATACTTTATAGCCTATACATAATGGAGACTGGAGACTGATGGCCGATTAGCCAGCAAAGACTTATAGCGTTGAAAACAATCATTGATATTACATTCTTATATTCAGATAAATAAATGGATTTTTGAAAATTGTGTGATCACTAAACTTTGTTAAATATAACTGAAAAATAAATTTAAAAAAATTCGTGGAAAATATTGAAAGTAATTATAATTACAATTATTGATGATTAATTATGGTATTTTTCAAAAATCATGTATTGAAAAGATCAATGAGATTAGTTGTAATTAAAAAAAAATATTTGTGAATACTTAAATATCATTAAATGTTTATCAAATTTATGAGCTGTATTTATTTAAACTAATTAGACTTAAATCATATGTAATAAAAAAAATATTATTTATCACGAATCATTAAATTAATTACTGCTTAACTAAAACTAATTTTTTTTCGTCCAACAAAATTTTGTAAAACTCTGGTTTAGGTACTTAAAAGCTGACTCAGGAACACCGGCGAAAACTTAGGTTTCAACAAATGGACTAATTGACAATATTACTAAAATAGGTGCTTTTCATAAGGAGAATCAAAAAGCAAAATTCCTATACAAAACTAAATGAACGCATGATGATGAGGTTCAAGTGATGTGATTTAAGTACCTATAAAGTCGCTGGTACCATGTATAAAGATATCTGTATTATCTTTCAATCCAAAGAACTATAGGTCTGGATAGTATACATATTAAGAGGACTCTGCATGGTTGCAACGCAAGCTCATAAACTGCACATGAATAAGTACGATGATTACAGAAAATATAGGAAACCGGAGATAAAGGAAACGCTAGAGCAGTTCCACTGTTTCTATCCAGTTTTTACGAAAACTCGAACAAAAATCTTTGCAGTTGTCACTTTTTAGCAGCTGAACTTCATCTCTGATGTTGTTCTGTATTATCTCGTAAGATTTGCGTGCCACTTGCGAAGGTAATGTGTTTTGTCACTACATGCTTTTAAAGATTCTCATATGATATCGCTTTGTATCTAATAAGTTTATATATGATTCAGCGAATCAGCACTACGCATCTAAAATTTGATTAAATTAATTGATTTTTTTTTACATCCATTCCTTTTATATAATTAATAAAAGTAGGGTCTTCATAAAATAAATTTCATATTAGATTCTATACTACAATTAAAATAAAATACCGTATCTACTGAAATGGAATAAATTGAAATGAAATGGAATTGCAATTCCAAATTGAAATGATTTTAATGCACATTATTAAGAATCTCTAAAGCACAAGATACTGAAACCTTTCTTTAATAACCGTAATCGAATTAGATTAATTCCAACGCACAGTGTCAACAATCCTTAAAGCACCTTGGACTGAAACGTTTTTTGTAGAATAATAGTGAATCATAATAAAACTATGTGTTTCTATATAATCCATCTATTTTAATCTCTAAAGTTTTGTTGATTACTCAGATTCGTTTGTCATTGCTCACTTGTCAATGTTTTCACAACATGATATCCTAGTTTCGCTGTTAAGCTTGGATGAATCAATAACTTGCATTTACGTTTCCAAACTCAGATACATGCTGAGCACTTGAAACCAATTAAAAGCCATAATAAAATTAATTTAATATTAATTATGAAATTTATGTGTTATTCGAGAAATTCTCAGAAAGAAACTGAAACTCGTTTAAAACCAAAGGAATTTCTGAGATAAGAAACAAACTCTATTGTTGTTGTAGAAAAAGACAAAACAAGGAAACCACAGCTGACGTTTTTATACTCACATTCATGCCTTTTTAACAAGGTGCGATAAACAACAAATTAATGAGCCAGTCACCACTGCAGCCCATGACTGAATGCGCCACGCCAAGTCGCAATGATCATGCCGGGCGCCTATTCGCCTATTTGACTATTTAATAGCAGATAAGGCACCACCAGCCGCAAACTGAAGAGATGAGGCCAACGCCAATGCGATTGCGAACAATTCATAATTGTCATTATTTATTGTGGTATTTTACGCGGGTTATTAAAATGAATTTTTCAACAGACTCCCAAACAATACTCTTCCCTCACCAAACTCAGCTCTCCTCTGCAGCTAACAAAAAGTCTGGAGCGAGCATATTATACTCGTACGCGGACATAAGAGCACATATGTGTACCTGAGCAATATGATAGGCAATTTGATCGAAAGCTTTGATATGGCGCTGGCGCAATTTCTCCACAACTACGAAGTACGGCGCTAATGACAACCGAACACTTGAACGAGTCAGAAGCGCTTCCACTGCGGCTATAGCACAAGCAATAACAATAACAATAACAACAACAATAAAAATACAAAAAAAATTAACCTGAACATCAGTTTCAGTTTCGGTTTCGGCTTTTGGCATCTATCAGCTGCAGCATCAACTGCTGCACTATGTCCCGGCTGCAGTTGTTGGCCTATTATTCAAACGCCACCCGCTGTGCAGTTGCAGTTTTGTCAGTATCGCTCTTATACCGCTCACGCCACATTGCCACATTGACTCTGATGGCAGTCGTCTGCCAACTGCTGCATTGCAGAATCGCAAAAGTGTTTCAGAATGCAGTTGGCACTGGATTCGACACCATTCGATGATGCTTTTCTTGCATTCGATGGGTTGCATTCGATGTCCTTTGAACGAGACAATGCAACGCGTGCACTTCTGCTTTGCATTGCGGGGTGCAGATCATCATCGCATTGTTTTAGGTACTCATTGCCTATTAACTTGGCTGAAAGAACCAATCCATAAAAAATAAAAATTTCACTTTTTAGACTACAGCTTGTTGCTCACCGAGTGCGATTGCGAGTGCGGGTGCGGGTGCGAATGCGGGTGGCTGTGCAATTTGTTTTCGCTACATGTTCACACCATTAAGGAAACATCGCGCTTTGATGTTAAATTAATACGAAGGACGAAGGCCGCCAATAAACGTTGTGATTAATGGATTAAATCTTCCTAAATAATGTCTTCAATTATTGTAAAATTGTTGATTTTGCGGGAATGAGAATAACATATGAAGTGTTTTTAAGATTAAGGAATTGCACTCGTGTGAGGATTTTCAAGGTTATACTAAAAATTATTTAGAAAAAGACTTGCTTACATAAAAAAGAAGAGAAAAAATAACTTTCGATTTTTTACCTCAGGAGACAGAGGTAGAGGAAACGTAATTCGTTAAGGCTAAAACTATCAAATGAATTTCGTGCTTTCTGTCATTATTGGTTTGACAGTTAGAACGGTTTGTTTGTTTCAATTTTCATCCGCAACCCTGTATTTATACTGAAAAATATATTTCAGCACTTTTACAAATTAGAAGAAACCTCATCCACATAACTAGTAGAAGAAGTTTCAAAATTATTACTTGCTAATTTATCGAGGCTAACATAGCAATGTAATGAATCAACGAGCTTAAGTGGGCCCAAAGATCACAAAGATACCCTCACTTTAATTAAATTACTTAAAGAACCGCCTTCACTATCTATAAGTGTTGTTCATTTAGAACTTCTGCAACTAGACAGTAGATGAGTTCTTGTTTTTCTTAAACCATTTAATTTTAAACCGCTTTCTAACTAAACTTAGCTACATTTTTCACTGTCAGCTTGCTTAGTAATGTAAAGTCTTATTCTGTCGAATATAAGGTAATACTCGGAAAGATTGCTCACATATTGGATATCGTTTTACCGTGACCCAATGACAACAGATTTTTTTTTATTGACAAGGACCGAGACCTAATAAAAATGTATCAACGAAGAAGGGCCACACTTCTCTTTAATCTTAATAAATTAGTTTTTTCGAGACCTACTTAGGAAAAGATCTTTTTTTTATTTTCAAGTGACTTTTATTTGCCATTAAAAATAAATCAAATAAGAAACAGCACACTTCCATTTAATTTTAATAAATTTGTTTTACTGAGACCTTCTTTTCTAAAATAAGAGAAAAATAAATCGTTCTTATTTTTTATTTGCGTCGAGATCCACTAAAAATTAATCAAGGAGAAAGAAGATCAGTTTCATTTAATTTTAATTTATTTATTTACAGAGAGCTACTTCTATTAGGAGAGCAAGGGAGGAACGCATTTTTTATCATTAAGTGCAGTATTGCCTCCACTTCTGTTTGTATAATTGGAGGAATCCGACTTCTAAATATTTATTGATAACGAATGGTCGTTAAACATAAGCAGCCGATCGATTTTTTAATTGGAAATCTTCATCAAATAATTGAAAGATAATGTACTCAGACGTTTTAGTTAACTTTTTTAAACGCTTTCATAAATAATACTTAGGAAGTACGACTAGTGCATGTAAAACAAGCTATTTCACATGCATAAATCAAGATAAGCCAATGGAAATGACTAAATCTTGATTTCATTAACATAAGTAGGCTTAGCTGCAGTGGGAACATGATGAATAATATGAGTAATATGGATACACTGTTTTAGTTAAGTACTAGTTTTGTCAAATGGTTTAGAACTATATTTCTTTGGAACTTATCTGTAAACATACGTAGTTCCAGTGATTAAATACGTAGTTTTAGTTAAGGAATATTTTAGTCAAATGGGTCTTATTTAGGAATTGTATTCAGGAACTTATTCTTCTTTCCGGGATTAAATACTCAGTTTCAATTATAAAATATATTAGCTAAATAGGAGTTTAAATATTCGAAACCTTGTTTTGTTTCCATGAGTTAAATACTTAGTTTTATAAGAAGGACCAAAAGGACCATAATTGAAAAAGCTTAATATAAAATTGGACTTTACTTAAATAACATTTG